GGGTGCGGAGCAGCTTTCGCGACAAAACGGTCGGGCAGGACCGAGGAGGGGTGACTCGTGTAGCTGTTTGGTTGGGCTCAACCCCACCCATTTTGTGGTCTGGGCTGGGGCCATACGCACTGTCTGGTCGGGGGCGGCGGGGGCGGTGGGGGCGGCAGCAGCGGGGGCGGGAGGAGGCGAATGTTTAAACATTGGCGCGGCGCGCACCAGCCTCCCCCGCCACTCCAGCGACACAGTGGAGCATGTGCTCCGAGCAAACAGCGACCCTTAGCCTCACCCGGGGCAGGGGCGCGGAGAGGCCCCGAGCAGAGGGCAGAGCCACTGGCTGCTGCTGGCCGGCCGTGGTGTGGTGTGGTATGGCGGCCGTGGAAGGACACGCAGATTCAAAGCACCATGAAATGACCCCTGTTTGGCCGTGTTCGATTCTTGAACAGCGAGAGAGAGAGAGGGGGGGGGGCGTGGAAGCGCGGCACTACAAGAGAATGGCAAATCGAGAGAGAATGGAGCAAGTGAGAGGGCGGGCCAGGGGGTGAATGGGGGAGTGAGAGTGAAAGTAGTGGGAAGAAGACTGAGAATGAAAGTGAGACTGAGACTGAGTTCCAACAAAGAAGGCAAATTTGGTCTGGGATCTGAACTCGTCTGGACCGCAGGGTTCGAGAGTGCCTCAGACTACTTCAGTGGTAAAGCAGCAGATCCATTTGCGAGCCGCACACGGGCCCGCGGACTGTCGGGCCGTCGGGCTGGCGTCCACCGTCCACGAGTGGAGCACTCTGGCACTCCCAGAGTTCTGGTGCGAGTTTTCCGGTCGGATTTGCACGCTTCATTTCGCAGAAATGCCCTATAGCAGCGAGCCGAAGCCGAGCCGGGGGCTCAGTGGTATAAGGGCTTGAGCAGCGCACTGCGAGTCGCGACGTATAGCTCTGTGCGGCCGGGGCCAGGGGCCAGCTGGGGGAAGGGTTATGGGGAGGGCTCACCGGCCGAAGCTCTCCGACCACCTCACCGCCAGCCGAACCACGCTGCTGCGGTCGGGGGAACAAAGTTACTTTCTTTTCTAATCAAACCAAAGGGTCCTCCACCTCCGAACGCCGCGCCTGCCCCGCACCACCCGAGGCCGGTCCGGTCCGGGGCGACGTCCGTCGTGCCCGGGGGCAGCGGCCGCCGTAGCGGGGCCGGGGGCAGGGGGTTGCCCGGGAGAAGGGGTTCAATCGGAGGTAAATAAGACAAACCAACTTGTGGGGGAGGGGGGGCGGACGCGGACGGCGGCTCAATTTCCGAGTGCCCGGCTGCTGCTGGACTCTGCTGCTGCCGGCCGCCGCCCCCTCACCATGTCCGTGCTCATTGACGCCCGCCGTGTAGTGTGTGTGTATTGGCCCTCGCCTCCACCACTACCACCACCACCACACCTTACCCATGACATTTCCGCCTTGGGCTTGCTTTGCCGTGGTCGCCGCCCCGCCCCGCCCTGGCGCCACATGGCGCCCGGCCCCGCCACCTCACATTACAGAGAGCCCGAGCCGCGTCGTGTAATTCCCTTCGTGCCGCGCGTGTTCCTGCAGCAGCGGGGAGAGGAAGCGAGTGTTTGTGTTTTGGCTGAGCAGAGAGAGAGAGAGAGGCAGAGAGAGAGTGACTATACTCCTTGGCCAGCCAGCAGGCCAGAAGGCCCGAGCCATTCGTACCTGTCATCTGGCCAAGTTTTTCCCCTTGCGTCCGCCCTTTGCCCCCGAATGATCCCCCCTTCAGCCGGCCCCGCCCCGCAGGCCTATCGCGTGTCCAATTTCATAACTCAGCGACAGGGCGGGAGGGAGAGAGAGACGGGGGGGAGGGGGAAGGCCAAGAGAGAGCGGGGACATGGGGAGAGTGAGAGTAAGACATAGGGAGAGTGAGAGTATGACATAGGGAAAGTCAGAGTAAGACATAAGGATAGTGAGAGTGAGGCAGAGGGAGAGTAAAAGTCAGGCTTGCGAAGAGGGAAGAGGGCAGTGTCTTCAGTCGGGCAAGAGATCGCTGCCGGGGAGGGCCGAGGAGCCTCGTCGTGGTGGTCGTGGTGACCAGGGCCCCCCCGCGGTGTGGGGCACGGGGCATATGCGTGCCCGCGAGGGCCTTAACAAGATTCACCTGCTGGCGAGGCGTGGCGAGGCGTGGCGTACAGGGCTGCGGCCCGGCCAGGGGTGAAGCCCCCCCAATTCAAACAAAGTGCATCGCGGCGGGAGGGCGGACGGACGGGCCGTGGAGCTGCTGGGGTGAGGATGAGGAAGGGGGACACAGGAACAGCGAGCAGAGGTCCGCGGCGCGCACAGCAGCGGCACCCTAACCTCACTTTTCGCGGTTGTTAATTAATTGGATTATTAATCAGGGATGTAAATGTTCGCAGGCGGCACGGCGGCCCGCCGCCGGCCTACAGGGGGCTGCCCTGGGGCGACCCCACCCCTCGGCTCGACTTAGGGAGCGGAGCATGAGGGAGAGAGGTTGGGGTTGCGGGTT